AATACTCAAATACTTTTTTTCTCATCTTATACTGAAGGGAACTTCATAACTTCATAAACAGCATTAAGGATAACTTTCAGCAAATTCAAAACAAATAAGTAGGGTCCCAAAAGTGCTTTCTCCAAGAGGCAGGTAGACTTTCTGGTTTTTATTTGAAGTCTTGTCTGTCTTGAAAGAAAAACCAGAAAGTTCACCTGCCTCTTGGAAAAGCCACCTTTGGGACAGCCATGACCTGGATGACTTGAGAATCTCCATAGACAATTAAGTGTAGGGTGCAAAAGCTAAGAGGAAAAATCATTGCCCAGAGGATCATTGGGTGCCCTCTCCTCTTTGGAAGATCTTTATAGCTCCATTGCCTTAAGAAAATTCAAAACATTCTTAAATAGCCATCTCATCCTGGGTACCTTTTTGGAAAACTATTAAACTGTACTGGACAATAAAAACCAGGGACAAATAGGCTGAAAACAGCTTCTATCCCAGAGCAATGGCTATATTGAATTCTACTATGTAGTGCAATATTAATACAATATCAGGGGTTTTCAATTGAATTGCATAGAATGTAAAGGATGTACTGTATGTTTATTTTATTTTTAGCTATAATGTACATTGAAAACGGCATTTAATTTTGTTGTGAGATGCAATGACAATAAACTAAGCATACTTGCTGCCTCCATTAATGTTTACTGATCAAGACTTCAATTTGTTAAAAAGGGGGGGTGCAAGGGAGAAATCCCTAGTTTTTAAGCATGGGGGGGGGGTAGAATCCCTAGATCAAAAAACCCTAAATTTTTGGGCTTATAGCACAAAAGAAATGACAAAATACACAGCAGAAAAATTAAACTGGATGGATTCTGTAAAACGGCCTGAAAATAAAGATTCCATGCTATTGCTAAGAGCATTTAAGATCAGTCTAACGTTCCTACAGATTGTTCCATGTGAACGATATTGTGGGTGTCAGCTCCTTTTAGGAAGAGATGGTGGCTCTTAAAAGAGCCTTTGGGGTTATAGGTGAGCCTCGGCGCGTCCTTACGCCCTCTCCCCGCGGATGCGTCGGGCCAGCTGGATGTCCTTGGGCATGATGGTGACGCGCTTGGCGTGGATGGCGCACAGGTTGGTGTCCTCGAAGAGCCCCACCAGGTAAGCCTCGCTCGCCTCCTGCAGAGCCATGACGGCCGAGCTCTGGAAGCGAAGGTCGGTCTTGAAGTCCTGCGCGATCTCGCGCACCAGCCGCTGGAAGGGCAGCTTGCGGATCAGCAGCTCCGTCGACTTCTGGTAGCGGCGGATCTCGCGCAGGGCCACGGTGCCCGGCCGGTAGCGGTGAGGCTTCTTCACGCCGCCCGTGGCCGGCGCGCTCTTCCGCGCAGCCTTGGTGGCCAGCTGCTTGCGGGGCGCCTTCCCGCCGGTCGACTTGCGAGCCGTTTGCTTGGTGCGAGCCATCCTCTCACTTGAAGTTCAGATGTGGAATTCCGAGAAATGAAGCAATGGCATCGTCTGCCGGCCTTTTTATAGCCCGCGCCTTGAGCCTGATTGGGTGAAACGGTTGAATTCGAATGTCTAGTCTCGACGCTGATTGGATACGCATTGAAACCATACCTTTCCTCGCTCTGCCTTCTCCACCGATCCTCGGTTTGCCGAGGCTTTGTTTCCACGCCCACAATATTCCGACTGTGAATGAATTACAAAATATCAACCCTTGGCAATGGTCCTTACGTTTTCCCCGAAGCTGTTTCAAATTACCAAATGAAATCGAGGGGATTAAAAATATCCAGCAGTGGTGCGTTTCATCATTTGGCTTTTGTGTTGGTACAACCAGGGTACTGGAATATTAATTTCGTAATTAGTAAATACAATGTTGACCTAAGCAAAAGTGCAAATCCTTAGCCTTTCACTTTCATTTACTCTGTTTTCATTCCTAGGTTTTATAATGCTCAATTTTAATTGCTTTAAGAAGCTTTTTTTGCAGATGACACCACGTTGGTGGGACTCATATCAGGAGAAGACGAGACGGCCAATAGGTCAGAGGTTCTCAGACTGGTCTTGTGGTGCAAGAATCATAACCTCGCCCTGAACATCAAAAAGACCAAAGATATTATAACTTCAGAAGATGCAAAGCAGAGCCTCTCCCACTATATATCAATGGAGACTGTGTGGAAAGAGTTCACAGTTTTAAATTTCTAGGAACTCATATTCTGACAACCTTATTTGGTCAGTCCACACTATGTCCACTGCAAAGAAGGCCCAGCAGCACCTGCACTTTCTGAGGCTGCTGAAAAGAGTGGTCTGGGTGAGAAGTTGCTGGTTACTTTTTACCATTCTACCATCAACAGCATTTTGGCATACTGTGTAACAGTGTGGTATGCTGGATGCTCTGTAGGATAAAAAGATGCTCCAGAGAGTTATAAACACAGAACAAAAAATCATCGGTTGCTTTCTTTCTTCTTTGGAAGAGATTGTGAAGACCAGACTCCTCTCTAGAGCAGTGGCCCCCAACCTTTTTTGTACCACGGCCTGGTACCGGCATCACAAAATGATCCACGGCCCGGTACCGGCATCAGCACGCACGACCAAGGCAAGGTGAGCCGAGCGACCGGCCAGCCAGCCGTCCCCCGCTTCTCCTCGCCACCTTCAACTCCTCCTCTGTACCTTTTTTGTGCTTTTCGGGCTCTTTCTTAATCTCCTCCTGAGTAATGCGAGACTCCACCGCCATCGGGACGGCTCTTCGAAGCCGCCGCCCCCTTCGACGAAACTAAGGCGCGAGGATTCCTTCAGCACCCAAACACCGCTTTCCAACAACCGACGACCGACAAGCTCACCCGGAAGTACTTTCTCAAGTGCCGTCGAAACAAGATGGCGGCGCCCAAAGAAACCGGCGGCCCGCTACAAAATGATCCACGGACCGGTACCGGTCTGGGGCCCAGTGGTTGGGGACCACTGCTCTAGAGCACTAAAAATCTCCACAGACCATTCTCATCCTGGACATTCATATTTTGAACTGTTACCATCAGGGAGGTGTTATAGGTGTCTTAAAATGAGGACTAATAGACTGAGAAGCAGTTTCTTTTCCAAGGCAATAATTGTCTTGAATCAAACAATGCATATGTGATTTAGCCCTATGTATATAGTGGCATTTTTAAACTAATTACCTTACTATATGTTTTAGATAGGTTTTAGACTAGGTTTTTAATTATTATTTTAATTATTTTAATTTTTAAATACTCTGTAGTGTGATTGTGATGTGGTGTTTGGGACACTGTGCTGGAGTAGCTTTCAAATTTCATTGTATTTGTAGAATGCAATGACAATAAAGGTGTTCTATTCTATTCTATTCTATTCTATTCTATTCTATTCTATTCTATTCTATTCTATTCTATTCTATTCCATTCCATTCCATTCCATTCTTTTAGTTTTGTAGGTCAAGATGGCAACGTTCTGCAGGCATATAAGTCTTCTAAATTCTTATTTTTGAGGGGGTTCACTCTGGTGTGTGCATAAGGCACACATTTTCAACAAGCAGAAATATGGATACATTTGTGGTTTTATTAATTAGTACGGTCTTTGTTGGGTTAGATACATTTTAACTCTTAAGATTAATGCCTACCATGGAAACTGCCCTATTTACACAACGTGTCAGTTGCTTCAAAAGAAAAGCAGCTTGGATCTATGAAAAATAGGATTTTTCTCTCTCTTTTCCTCCCTTTTTCTCTCTCTCTTCCTCCCTCCCTCTCTCCTTCCCTTTCTCTCTCTTTTCTTCCCTTTTTTCTCTCTCTCTTCCTCTTCTTCTCGCTCTCCTATATCCTATTTTAAATAGATCCAAGCTCTGTATGTGTGTGTATACATATACATATACATACATACATACATACATACATACATACATACATACATACATATACATTTATATTGCTGCCTATTTGCCCATGGCAACTCGAGGCGGCTTACACAATGTAAAACCATATTTAAAACAAAAAATAAAAAATAATAAAAATGAACAAAAAGAATCAAATAAATTAGTAAAGTACAATAGAACAAAATTTAGAAAAAAATAAAATATGTATATATATTTGTATATATATAAATATATAAAAGCAGCTTGGATCTATATAAAATTGGATATGTATAGCTGCTTTTCTTTCTATATATATAAAAACTCGCTTTATTGCTTGGTCCACCGGATTGGTGACTACTCTTGAAGGAATTGAATTGCATTCATTAAACTGTCCACTAACAGCTACTTTGAAAGCCTGCCAGTAGGAAATTGGATGTTGTTGGTGATTTTGATTAGCCAAACAGGAAATGTCCTTTTAGTTTGAAATTGCTGCCATGGGCCACAGCTTTTTTATGCAGACACATTATTTCATTTCCCTTGTTTTAAAAAGCTACTGTTTACAAACTTTCATTAAATAACTGTACATTTTATATTATTTACTATCTTAATGCACGGCAATCCAAATGGATTTTCTTGGGTTTGCTACTCAAATTAAATTTGGATTTAGGCTGAGTTCGATGGGATATCAGAGGTGCTTTTTGCAAATGAACTTTGGGATATCAGAGGTGCTTTTTGCAAATGAATTTTCCTTGAAAATGTTTTGCTTCCCATTCAAGAAGCTGTTTCAGTTGAACTTCCAAAAACCTTCTTGGGATGAAAAGCCAAGTTTTCAAAAAAACAAAACAAAAAAACAACAAGGAAGTCAAGTTGCCTTTTGAAAAAAAAAAAAGATCTTTGGGGCAATTATGACTGGTATTGAGAAACTCCATAGCTTCGATGGAATAGTTTAGATCTGTTCACCTGGATGGATCAAATGTAGTTATTTTCATTATAATTATAGACTTAACAAAATCAATTTTTTTATGTATATTGTCACCTCTTAATACTTTTGTGGAGGAAATTTTTATAAAGTATCTCAGGATTTTCACTTGACTTGACTCAAGCTCTTTCCAGGAAAAGGTGGGTGGCTCTTAAAAGAGCCTTTGGGTGTCGTTCTTAGCAGCCGAGAGGGAGCAGGCGGGCGGGCGGGCTCTACTTCCCTTTGGCCTTGTGGCTCTCGGTCTTCTTGGGCAGCAGGACGGCCTGGATGTTGGGCAAGACGCCTCCCTGAGCGATGGTCACTTTGCCCAGCAGTTTGTTCAGCTCCTCGTCGTTGCGGATGGCCAGCTGCAAGTGGCGCGGGATGATACGCGTCTTCTTGTTGTCCCGGGCCGCGTTGCCCGCCAGCTCCAGGATTTCGGCCGTCAGGTACTCCAGCACGGCGGCCAGGTAGACGGGCGCCCCGGCTCCGACTCTCTCCGCGTAGTTGCCCTTGCGAAGCAGCCGATGCACACGGCCCACGGGGAACTGGAGCCCGGCGCGGGAAGAGCGAGTCTTGGCCTTAGCTCTGGCTTTGCCTCCTTGTTTGCCGCGTCCAGACATGTTAAGATTCAGGAATAGCAACACAAACCAGCTGGATCCGAGAACGATTCCTACTTGGACACTTTGTCTCATTTTATTCACTCGAAAAGCTTGTAAATGTGGATTCCCATTGGTTCGCATCCGCCGAAGTTCTGCGTCCAATGAAAAAAAACAAGTCTTTTCGGCCGCCCAATAGAGAAAAGGTGCTCTATGCAACCCAATAGAAATAGCTTTTTCAGGATTCGGTCATTAGCATAATACGGATGTGGGTGGGGCTCTGCTTCTGAGCCAATGAAAAAGGGAGGTTTTGATCAGCTTCATTTGCGTACAGCAAATAAATAGGGGCCAAGCAGAGGTTCTTCAGTTTGATTTGTTTTGGTTAGTCTACTTTTTTCTCGTTGGCGATTTGATCATGCCTGAACCGGCCAAGTCTGCTCCCGCGCCCAAGAAGGGCTCCAAAAAAGCCGTGACTAAGACTCAGAAGAAAGGAGACAAGAAGCGCAAGAAGAGCCGCAAGGAGAGCTACTCCATCTACGTCTACAAGGTGCTGAAGCAGGTCCACCCTGACACCGGCATCTCCTCCAAGGCCATGAGCATCATGAACTCCTTCGTCAACGACATCTTCGAGCGCATCGCTGGAGAGGCTTCCCGCCTGGCCCACTACAACAAGCGCTCCACCATCACCTCCCGGGAGATCCAGACGGCCGTGCGCCTCCTTCTGCCCGGAGAGCTGGCCAAACACGCCGTCTCCGAGGGCACCAAGGCCGTCACCAAATACACCAGCTCCAAGTAAACAAGCTTGCAAACAAGCTTCCTTTATTATCAAATCCAAAGGCTCTTTTAAGAGCCACCTACATTCTCAAAAAAGAGCTGCAGCTTTTTCAAAAGTCCAGTTTGCAAAGACTTTGACTGTATTCCTAAGGCATGAATGCAAGAAAATACAGAGCCTCAAAGTTTAAATCTCCTTAAAAATCGTTATTGAATACAAAGATTAGAAAACTAAGAAAAAGGTTTAAAAATTAAAAACTAGAGGTGAAGGGGAGGAAGAAAGATACATTGAAAAAGTGATTTATTTTTAAAGGAAACCAGTTTGGTCTATGATTAAGTCAAGAAACCTGGAGACAAATTCTAGTCCCTGATTTAGGCATGTGTGTGTTGCATACTTCTGCTTGTATCAGAGAAACTACTGAGGCCAGTTTCAACCTTAGCGATTTTAAGATGCGTGGACTTCAACTCCCAGAATGCCTCAGACAGTACTGCGGCAGTTGAAATCCACGCGTTTTAAAGTTGCTAAACTTGAAGGAAAAAAATACTTTGAGCAGTTGCTCCAGTGGCGCAATCGGTTAGCGCGCGGTACTTATATAGCAGTACTTTGCCTCTAGCGATGCCGAGGTTGTGAGTTCGAACCTCACCTGGAGCAGTGACCTTTTCCTCTCTGGGAAGTTATTCCTGGGCGTTACTCACTCCATCCTGATTTCTAATATACGTTTAAAGGTGGTTAATAGACTTGGATTGGATTAGATTGTTACTTATGAAGAAATTTGAATTTGGGGCTTTCCTTTCTCTTATGGGCTGGAAAATATCTTTTTTTTTTAATTGCATGAAAGGGAGAGGCATTCCTTGAAGAAAGTTTAATGAAGCAGGAAGGATAAATTATTGAAGGAGCGTTGGAGAATCCACACATTTACCCAATGGCACTACCATGTGAAGATCTTGAAACATAACCTCTAGGAATTGTTAGCTTTGAAAAAAAAATAGTTAAAACACATAAGCGTTGGTGGTATAGTGGTGAGCATAGCTGCCTTCCAAGCAGTTGACCCGGGTTCGATTCCCGGCCAACGCAAAAGTCTGTTTTTCTTCCTTTTCTGTAGAGATTCTCAGTCATCCCAAAGGTCCTTTTTCCCAAAGGTTCTTTCTCAGGAGGCAACTGGACTTTCTTGGTTTTTCTTTGAAGATGTTTCGCTTCTCATCCAGGAAGCTTCTTCAGCTCTGGATGGTGAGTAGAACTGAGGAAGCATCTTCGATGAGAAGCAAAATGTCTTCAAAGACAAAAACCAGAAAGTCCAGTTGACTCCTAAAAAAGCACCTTTCGGTGGCCTAAAGGCACCCAGCTAGCTTTCATGCCAAAGGTTGGCACTAGAACTCAGACCCCCGGCAACCGCCCCCTCCCCCGGTTATTGGCCCAGTGCCACGCAACAGCTTTCATGCCTAAATCAGGACTAGAATTTTAGCTCCAGGTTTATTGTCTGCTGCCTTAACCCTAGACCAAACTGGTTTTCTTTAAAAATAAATCATTTTTTTTCAATGTATCTTTTTCTGCTTCTCCTTCCTCTCTAGTTTTTAGATTTTTAAACCTTTTTCTTAGCCTATATTTTCTAATCTTTGTATTCAATAATGATTTTAAAGAGATTTAAAATACTTCCAACTTTGAGGCTCTGTATTCTTTTCTTGCATTCATGCATTAGGGAGACAGTCAAAGTCTTTAACTGATATTCCTTAGTTCTTCGTGAATTCAGTTTAGAAGAGTTACTAATAGTACTAAATTTCTTGGTGGCTCAAAGCAGATGAAAATCTTAATTTTTTTTAAAAAAGAAAAGGCTGCCCAGAGGGGGATTCGAACCAATATCTCCGGGGAGACTGCGACTACTAACGCACCGGCTTAGACCGCTCGGCCATGCTGACTTCTCTATAAAAAGGCTTCCCCCAACGTCTTTGGTAATAATATATTTTGAACATCTACAATGAAGTATATAGTCACACCATAGATTAAGACATATGAAGACAGCATATAGGTTTTGTAACAATCCAGGTAGTCGTGGCCGAGTGGTTAAGGCGATGGACTAGAAATCCATTGGGGTCTCCCCGCGTAGGTTCGAATCCTGCCGACTACGAGAGATTTTTTTTAAAAATCAAAACATAAAAGTCCTCTTCTCTAAATATCCTACCTTCTGTTTCTTCCACACGTTTAAAGTCGTCTCTTTTTAAAAGTTTGCCAGGCCAGGTGATTATCTGGGAAAAAACCCATCTTATTTGCAACCCCACTTTCCAAAACCCCTCCCTTAATATACTATTGCATATCATTGATATATGATTGCAATTTATACTTACATATTATTATATCGTATTTATTATATTAATTTTACTAATACCTTGCCTCTGCTCTCACCCACTAGCATGCCAACACCCTGTCTGATTTGGATTTAGGATGCCTTGTGAATCCCCTCAATCGTGGCTTTTTATACAGACTATGGCTAGTGAAGTATATCAAACCCACTTGCTGGGACAGTTAAAACTTTTTATCTAAATACAATATCACGTTATTGGGGTGGATTTAATTATAGATGTATAGTATTTTTATTTTATCCAATTCAATGGTCTGAATTCCACTTTCTTGAGATGAATCCTGAGTGCTTTCTTTGCGAGAATTTTGCTCCCAATACGGGATTCCGACTTCTGCACTTTGAATATACTCAGAGGTAACCTTTTCAAGGCCATTCTGGTTCCACTAGAGCTCAGGTCCGAGTATAATCTATGAATAAAGAGTAGGAGGGAGCAGATTTCTTGCTGCTCCAAAGATGAACCTATCGTGGACAGCATCATTTATTTAACGTGAATTGGATTTTTCCTACTACCAGGAATTTTCAAAACATTTTATTACAAGGCGTTGGTGGTATAGTGGTGAGCATAGCTGCCTTCCAAGCAGTTGACCCGGGTTCGATTCCCGGCCAACGCATGTGACTTTTATTTTCCAAAAGAGTCTGTTCTATGGTAATAGAAAAGGTTTTTTTAAAAAAGCATTTTTTTTTAAAAAAACTTAATTTTTTAATGATGTCTTTACATTTATCCAGCTCTTCTTACTAAATAAATTTCTGAGTGTTCACACAAACGGATTCCAGAAAGATTTATAGCACCACAAGGCAGTTAAGTTGGCTAGTTTTTTTAAAAAAATTGCTGGATGGTTTATAGCCTTTTCCACAAATTCAGCCTATTGGTTTCATTTTTACAGCTGACTATGACATATCTGATTATGGTTGAACTCTCAATCCTAATCCTATTGCGATATCAATATATTGTACAAATTCAGAGAACCATTAATTGTAGCGTGGGAAGAAATATCCATCTGGTTCAGTACCAAGCTGGGAGAAAGACAGTGGAAACATTGGGGGCTGATTGGAAAGATGGTTTATTGATGAAGCAGAACCACCTGGGTTGTGGATCTGGGCAGCTGACCAATTGGTTTGATGAGTACATGGCTTTTTGTAAGGTTCAGAGATGCTGGTAGGGGGGTTGTGCAATGTTTGAAATGTCCTTAGGAGAGGGGTGTCAAACCTGGGGTGCTTCGATCTAGGATGCTTCGATCTGGCTTGCGGAGCCACCCTGGAAACAGCAAAGGATTGGCCTGTGGTGCCTCTGCCAGCAAAAATGGAGCTCCTCCCAGCCCCTGTTTTTGGCTGCAATGGCTTCCTGCAGCCCTCTGCCAGAGAAAACAGAGCTCCATTTTCACTGGCAGAGGGCTACAGGAGGCCATAGTGGCTGAAAACAGAAATTGGGAACCCATTTTCGCTGGCTGACCACTCGGGCCACCATAGGCACTCCCGACACAAGTGACATCAAGCTGACCATGCCACAACACTGCCCCCCACCCCGAGGTCAAACACAACTCTGATGCAACTCTCAATGAAATCGAGTTTGACACCCCTGCCATAGGAGAGTGTGCGATGTAGTAAGCTCTGGGTCTTCTGCTAAATGGTAGTGGGTTAATCCAATTATGTTGTTGGAAGAAATTTCCTGAGTTCGTTTCCCACCTGGGAAGCAGTCGCTGATGCTGAAAAGAAATAGACATGGAAGTCAGCTGCCAGAAAAGGGATCCTTTAATTTAGGAAGGCAAGAAAAGTAATGACACAGCTCAGGGAGTTCCTGGCTTGCAAGCAGATTGGGGGTGTGTGTGTGTATATCTGAGCCTTTTATGCTTAATTCCCCTTTGAAGCTCCTGCAGCTTGATAGGTTTATTTGTGTGCTTCTCTTAAAGTGATTGCCCTGGGTCCTGTCTTCCTGCCTTAATGGGTTAATCCTGTCCCAGGACCTCAAAGCGAGAAAATAGAACACCCTCTTTGTGTTGCTGTTAAAAAACTTTATTCCTAATGATTGATTAACAATGATATTAATGTATTTAATATTTGATTGAAAATATGAGAATATATACAATGTAATTGTAATTGAAGACTACGAAATGGAAGCACAAAAAAATTTGTAAACCGTGACTTATGACCATTTTTCACACTTACGTCTGTTGCAGCATCTCCAGTCATGAGAGGCCAGGCGAGGAAATGTGTGCCTCGATGTGAGTGATGTTGAGTTGGCCACGCCCAGCCAATAACATGATCACCAAGCCATGCCCATCAACTAAGCCACACCCACAGAACCTGTTGTTAAAATATTTGAATCCCACCCCTGGTAACCATCATGGTACATGCTTTGTGCCAAATCCAACCAAATTTTGCTAACCTAAAACCTCGGTATTCTCTGAACTTAGTTGTTTTCTTGCAGACGTCTCATAACCAAACTAGGTAACGTTATCACTGCTAGTGCACTAGTACCTAGCACACTAGTAATGATGATATTACCTAGTCTGGTTAATGAAACATCTGCAAGAAAACAACTAAGTTCAGAGAGCAACTTGTAGCCCTTGTTTCAACTCTGGGCAACAAACATTTTCCTTGATTGCTAAAACTCTCTCTCTCTCTCTCTCTCTCTCTTGGTAATTCCAGGAAACCACAGTTATAATTTGCAATAGAAGCGCCTTCCAGATATCTTCCTTTAAAAAAAATGGTATTGATCAAGTTATACAGAAGAGCCAAAGAAAAATGATAATGGTAATTCAACAATATTTACTTATGGGGGAAAGAGGAGGAAAAATACTCCGAATTGTGATGTCCACAACTTCTTGAGCCATATCCTAAAATACATTTTTCATGGGACAAGTGTGAAAATAGTTGATGAGCAGATTTTTTGTGTGTGCCTTCAACTTGCAAAGGCCTTCACTTGAGAAATATAAAATTAGCAGAAATGGCCAACTTAGTGGATGGCTTTCAGGAGCTGTTTAACACCCAAAATACAGAGCCTGGATAGCTCAGTCGGTAGAGCATCAGACTTTTAATCTGAGGGTCCAGGGTTCAAGTCCCTGTTCAGGCGGTAGAGTTTTTTTCCCCATTTCTTTCTCAAAGGGTGTTCAAATTTGACGGCTACAAGAGGTGTGGACTTCAACTCCCATAACTCCTCCTCCAGTCATGTTAGCTCAGGAATTCTGGGAGTTGAAGTCCATAAGTCTTAAACTTGCCAAGTTTGAAGACCCTTGCTTAGTGCATTGTCTCTTTTCAACAATAACCCATTTCTGAGAAGGACTATAAAAAGCCAAGGAGTAGAGATGTACAATGGGACTTGGAACCATAAGTTTTCTGCTGTTTCTTCCCCTTGTTAAATAACCTTTTTGCTTTAGTTTACTTATGAAGCTTGTAACTAATGTGCAAGCAAGCCAGGTTGCACTTGAATAGAAATAGAATTGGGAGAGCATATTTTGGTTTGCCTTTTTTTTTTAACCAAAGTTGTTTCTTTTTTAATGTGTTGGAAGGAATATCCTTCTGGTTCGGTTCCAAGCCGGGAAGAAGGCACTGGAGACAAAATGGAGGCTGGAGGCAGATTGGAAAGAGAGTACATTGATTGATTAACAGAACCACAAGTTTGTACTTCTGGTGCATCTGACCACATGGAGTTGAAAGTGAGAGGTTTTTATACCTTCTCTTGGGCTTTGTACTTGAGCTTCCTGTTCCTGTGCAAGAACATGTATTCCATTGGCTGTCGTCAAACTCCCATGGGACTATGTCCTAGATGTTTGTCTGAGCTAAGTTTGGTTGAAGTTTGGCTGATGCAATGAAGGGGTTTGCTGGGCAATTCTATTGTGGATGAGGGCTAATTCTATCCTTGTTGGGTGAGGGTATTTGCTTATGAATAAAGCTATCAATCTCTATCTCTTAAGTGCTGACATCTGCTGTGGGCTATTAAGGAAGGTGGGGGCTGCTTTCTGTCTCCAAAAGCATGTTTCTCTTTTTAGGAAAATATGATTCTGCCTTTTTAATATTTCTCAAAATACTTCATTCTTCTTGGAGAGGGTTTATTGCTAACTTTCTAAAAATGAAATAACTGTTCTTTTAAGTGTCTAAACTTTGAAGCCATAGCTTTGGGGATGATTCCAAACACCAGTAAAATGCAGGAGATAAATTTTACTAATAAATAAATGTACGGAAAGTCTTATGAAAATCAACAGGGATGGTTTGAATTTATTCTGGTTGACCTGTAGGGCTGTTCTAAGCAGGCAGAAGTGAGTTTGGTCCCTTTGTACAATCTTGGTCACCACAATTGTTCAGTAAATCACTGCAGTTATTAAATTAGTAACATTAGTAACACAATAAGGATTCATATGTACAGCTAGTCCACAACTAATGGAAGGAAGAGGAAGGGAAGGAAAGAAAGGAAAGGAAAGGAAAGGAAGGGAAGGGAAGAGGAAGGGAAGGGAAACAGAAAGGGAAAGGAATGGAAAGGAGGAAAAGAAAGGAAAAGGAAGGGAACAGAAAGGAGTGGAAAGGAGGAAAGGTAAGGAAGGGGAAGGGAAGGGGAGGGGAGGGAGGAACAGAGGGAGAAAGGCAAGTTGCTTTCCTAAAATGCAACATAGCAGCCACACATACTGAAAATCTCCTCTTGAGAAAAGGTTGTTCCCTCGAATCCTAATTATTACTCGCATTCTCTGTAAGCAGAATGAAAACTAATAGTATCAATCCCATTGTCCAATATCAGCAGCCCGGCTAGCTCAGTCGGTAGAGCATGAGACTCTTAATCTCAGGGTCGTGGGTTCGAGCCCCACGTTGGGCGCAAATCATTTCTTTTTGTTCCTCTCTGGGCATTTAAAATCCTTATCTTCAGGAGACTCACTCGTTCGGTAGAAATATGTGGTATTGCAGCCTCGGACTCCACGCTAAGTTTCTCCAGGTTTGATTTCCTGTCCAAAAGCAAATGGAATATATAATGATATATGTATGCTGATATATATTTTTTAAAAATTTAAAATAAAATATGTTTATCTTGTTTTAGGCTTGGGTGTTCACCATCTCTGCTGTCCGTTGGTTAAGGACGATTGGGGAAAGGGATCTGGCGATGCATTGCGGGTTATAATGAAATCTGAATCGCAAGGCGGAATTTTAGATTTATCCCCAACGCTGTTTATTACAACTGGCAAGGGAGTGGGTGCCAAACCACTTACAAGACCGAGGGACCTAAAAAAAAACCACACACACACACACAACGGGAAGGCAAAGAATATTTTTATTAGAAGGTATAAGACAGGAACTCTTACGGGTCCGTTTGGATGGCCAGTTTGGGGAAAGCTTCCCCACGTATCTGAGAATACTTGTAGTATAGAATTTCTATTTTTAGGCAAAGGGGTCTTTTCAGTCCATTGTTACGGGAGATGGAATGTTGGGACAATGGGGGGGCGTGTCCTTGATCGAAGATGGAACGTTGAGGCTTCTCACCTGGTTACTATGTTGCAATTCGTTTCTTAGGAATTGCGGCAAGGGTCCCTCAAGTCAAATTTGGCTTCCGGAGAAATACATGCATATTCCAAACAGCTTTTTTGGGATGGAAGATGGGAACCGCTGCCATTCAACTTGTTACCAGGTCCAGCTCTTCTTTCTCAGAAAGGCAGAAAAACATTTTAGAGATGAATAGGTTTTTGCAGATGTCTCAAGGCAGGGGGGGGGGGGGGGGGAAGCTACCCTTGGCAGCGGTGGGATTCGAACCCACGCCTCCGAAGAGACTGGAGCCTTAATCCAGCGCCTTAGACCGCTCGGCCACGCTACCACGCATTTAGAAGAGATACAGGTGGCTTGGGAATTCTGGGAGTCGAAATCCATGTTTTAAAAAGTTGCCAAATTTAAACACTTACTTGATTTCTCAAGGATGTCTTGTCCCTTGCTTTTTCAGGAGGCAACTGGATTTTCTCGTTTCTTTTTTCTTGTGAAGAGGTTTCGCTTGTCATTCAAGAAGCTTCTTCAGCTCTGACGGGACAGTGGAGAATGGAAGCTTCTGTCAGAGCTGAATAAGCTTCTTGGATGAGAAATGAAACGTCTTCAAAAAAAAACCCAAACAAACCTGAAAGTCCAGTTGCCTCCTGAATAAAAAAAACACCTTTGGGACAATTATGACCTGCATGACTGAGAATCTGTACAGACTTCAAGGATGTCTTAATATCCCATCCAAGCCTCAGCATCAGGACCACCATGGCTTACGTATATAAGAAAGATATTTCGAATTTTTGAAACGTTTAAAGAACCCGGCTTAAAAGCAGACAAACATTCTTGATCAGAGCAGGAGAAAGTTAAGGGCAGAGAGAAGGAAACCAGGCTGCGTGAAATAATAGTTACTCCGATTGAAAGCAGCGATTGAAATCTCAACAGGAAACCAGAGGGGGGGAGGCGGACTCCAGATTTGGGCGCGAGATTCAAATTCAGAAAATATCTTTTGTTCGAAAAGAGCCAATGGGGAGATAGCGCGCCAGGTATAAAATTCTCCAGGAAGATCACTCGACTCCTCCAGACTTCGCTTCTTCGGCAAGGATTGCTCGCACCCAGCAAACGGCTCGCAAGTGGACAATGGTGTAGGCGTGTCCTGCTTGGAGGGTGGAAAGAGGTTGGACGAGATAACCTACAAGGTACCTTAAAACTCTTGCTAACCCGTTACATTGACACGTGGTTAGTATTCTGGGCCTCGCCTCCTTTTCTAATTCTGACCAATCCCCGACGAATCCCGAACCTCCGAACGCGTCTTTCTTTCCCAGCCAATCGAGGAGAGCGAACCGGCTATAAAAGAAGGGCCGCGAAAACGCGCTTCGCTTCATTCGAATCCGGCGTGGAGGAGCAAAAGCGGCGGAGCGCTTAGAGGAAGGATGGCTCGCACCAAGCAAACGGCTCGCAAGTCGACCGGCGGGAAGGCGCCCCGCAAGCAGCTGGCCACCAAGGCTGCGCGGAAGAGCGCGCCGGCCACGGGCGGCGTGAAGAAGCCTCACCGCTACCGGCCGGGCACCGTGGCCCTGCGCGAGATCCGCCGCTACCAGAAGTCGACGGAGCTGCTGATCCGCAAGCTGCCCTTCCAGCGGCTGGTGCGCGAGATCGCGCAGGACTTCAAGACCGACCTTCGCTTCCAGAGCTCGGCCGTCATGGCTCTGCAGGAGGCGAGCGAGGCTTACCTGGTGGGGCTCTTCGAGGACACCAACCTGTGCGCCATCCACGCCAAGCGCGTCACCATCATGCCCAAGGACATCCAGCTGGCCCGACGCATCCGCGGGGAGAGGGCGTAAGGACGTGCCGAGGCTCACCTATAACCCCAAAGGCTCTTTTAAGAGCCCACTCACTCTTCCGCGGAAAGAGCTTGAAATCCGCCCGAGGGGCTCTCCCTTGTATTCGTCGCAAACGATTGAGTGTAAAAGCTATCCAGCTTGGGCGGGGGGGGGGGTCTTGTCCCTGATAGTGATTTTTCTCACAAGCTTTTTAATGAGACCCTTTTTGAAAATTTGCTGAGGGTGTTTAATACCCTAACTTGCGTTTTTACTGTGACCGCGCTTCGTTGATGGATGGGGAGGTGGGAAAGCGGAGATGCAAACGGTGACCACGGTGGGTTATTTTACACCTCACAACCATGCTCCCCAGTATCTTGACTGCCACGTACTGCTCCACGAAGGAACCCCAAATCGCCTAAGGTGTTGGTGACGCTGGGTTCCGACGGCCTTCGAAGTAGCAATGTTAATATTTACATTAGTCAAATCTATGTAATTTAGTGTTAATACACATATTTGTATTAAGATACTTACTCAGTGTTTCAATATGCCATTCTAATGCCAATCGTAATATATGAACATGTATAGTAATGCCATCTTTCAACCTCTAATTTTTTCATCTAATTGCTTTTATTGTATTATGTAAAAATATGTATGCTAATATTCCCCCTATTGTTTCTGCCTCTATTTGAGCTTCTAATCAGGCCATCACTACTAATTCTGGTGTTAATACAGTTTGTATTGAAATATAAATGCCATCGTCATTCTGCTAAACAAATAATTCCCTCAACACTGTCCAACTATTTACTAAATCTGTATTACTATTAATCTTCCCATCCTTCCTTTCACCCATCTCCTCTCACTTATGACTGTATGACTGTAACTTTGTCGCTTGTATCCTTACAATTTATATTGACTTCCTAGTATGGTTGATTGCTTATTGTACCCTATGACTATTATTAATTGTTGTACCTGATGATTCTTGACTCTTGATGAATGGATCTTTTCTTTGATGTACAGTGACAGCATATACACCAAGACAAATTCCTTGCGTATCTAATCACACATCCAATAAAGAATTCTATTTAATCCTTCATTATTTAGTTATTCAATGTTTCAATGCGCCATTCTAGTGCCAATCACCATATTATTTAAACATACATAATACCATCTTTCAACCTCTAATCTTTCCATCTAGTTAGTGCTTTTATTCTATTATATAAGTGTGTATTCTTATTTCTACCTCTATTCTAATTTTTAATCAGGCCACCATTATATTAAAAGGCATTTCCTTTCTGTCCATCATCTCTTGTCCATTCGAATACTTCAATTCTTATCCATTTTTAGCTTGCCTCCCATACTCCTCTTTTGTATCTTTGCTCTATCTACATCTATATCTTTACTATTCAGTCTAAATATGTCCATAATTATTCATTCAGCAGTAATTATTTCAACAGAAGTTCCACTAACCTCTATCTCAGTTCTATGGCTAGCTCCCCAATTAGATTTAACATGGATGGATTCAGGGCTTTTAAAAACTAAAAACACAGGGACTGCATGGTCGGCACCGAGGGTATTTTTAGCAAGATTCCTGCAGGGGGTTGGACTAAATGATCTTCAGATTCCCTTGCAGCTAATACACTTTTTAAATAATTATCCAACTGATTTTTGTACCTTAAATGTTCCTGAAGTATATTGTCTGCTCCATTTCTTCATGACTAACCCTGGGATAGTGGGAAGGGTTAAAGTCTTAAAAACAACGGAGCACACTCAAAGTGTTAGAAAAAAAAAACCCTTTGTATATATCTTTGTTCAAATGTAGGATTCGTTCTCCTGCCTACAACTGACTTTTCTTCCCCTTTTCTCTTTCCTTTATTCTCCTTCATTTATAATTTACTAACAAGACTGCAAGAAAGTGTGGCATAGAGATCTCTATGTTATTCACACAGTAAATAACTGGTTTTATTACACTTTGGATATTTTTTTAATCAATAGGAATTGTAACGGTAGAAATATTTAAAGCAACCAGTAAACTTAATAAAAGGATTGTTTTTAATGGTTTGCTAGCGCGGCAGCTTGGAAAAATGCCATTTTTTGCTGTCCTAAACAAACCCAAAAGATCTGTAATTTCCTTTTGGAAAACATGGAAAAGAAAAAGGAGTTGCGTTGGCCAGGAATCGAACCCGGGTCAACTGCTTGGAAGGCAGCTATGCTCACCACTATACCACCAACGCTTCATGCGTGATAAAGTTTCTTTTGGGAAACATCTTTAGATCACAAGCACTTATATGCATCTTTGTATTATAAAATGTTAGGGAATTATCAAGACAGCAGGTGGCGCTGTTCGTTCTGAAAAACATGTCAGTAACTTTCTCCTCCAATTTCCTTTTTTTCTTGCTGCAATTAAATGTTAATCGTACCCATCTTTAACCGAATTTCCTTGTTGAAGCTGACAATTGCAAAGAGTAACTAGTTAAGTTTGTAGTGACTGTAATAACATGGTTATTTATAGTAGTAAATGAAAAGTAGCCAGACATTTGCAACAACAGTGGTATTTGTTTTTTTTAATCACCAATTTAGATTTGGAAACTTTAGAAAAGTGAAGAAAAGATAACCTTTTTTTTTTTTTTGCCTAATAGCAAATACACAAGATTTCACGCTATGGAAAATCAAAAGAGGACAAAAAACTTAGAGTGAAACTTTGACTTTTAGTTGACAAAAATTGCCCTTTCTTACCATTTTAATTCAGTGTTTCTGAATGTCAGCAACTTTATGATGTATGCAGTATCATATAAGTGTGTATGTAAGCATATGCATAATTTATTTTTTTTATTTATCATGTTTATGTAATGTCTATTGGAGGTGGTGACCCTTTGAGAGCTGTTTGCAATGGAATTTCATTTTAATTATGCCAATTAGTGTACATTTAAAGTGACAATAAAGTTATTTTCAGTCTAAGTTCAGTTCCCACAATCTCCCAACTTGATGTGTTGGAGTTCACACAACATAAAGTTACTGAGATTGAAAAACATTGTTTTATTCTTTTCTGTTCACATCTACTGACTTTCATTCAGCTTGGAAAAAGTGAAGCATTTGGGTTACTTTTGATACATGGATGGGAGACCACCAGGAAATCCCAAGGTTGTAGATTTGATTGGAAATTGGAAAAGGCACCCTCTAGAAGAAGACAGCACATTCTCATTCTGGGCATGAAACTGAACACGATTTAATGGATGATGTCTCTATCTTTTTGTCTACATTTGATTGTTTTCCATCCTTCAAGAATGTCAAACATTTTTTTAAAACTTCATCTTGCCTTGGAGAATAAACATATAATAATAATAGGATTATTTTATTTTCAAGCAAAAGGAACTCAAATGGCCTTTTCAATACATGCAATACACCGTATGTAGGGAACTATTCTAAGAAGGAGAAGGACCAGGGGTAATATGAGAGCAGTCATCCAGTACTTGAGGGGTTGCCACAGAGATGAGGGGTTTGATCTATTATCCAAAGAATGTGAAGGCAGAAACAGGAAGTAGCAGGTGGCGGATCATCTAGGAAACATCCAACCTAGAAATAAGGAGGAATTTCCTGACAGAACAACCAATCAGTAGAACTAGTGCATCTCAAAGTTGTGGTTGTTCCATCACTTGAGGATGGAGCCATTTGTTCGGAATACAGATTAAGGAAGGGACCTTGTCGGTCATCTAATCCAACCTCCCCACCCAAGCAAATCCTACCCTATTTTTGACAGATGGTAGTCCAGTCTCTTCTTGAAAGCTTCCAGTGATGAAGCTCCCACAACTTCCAAAGGAAAGCTGTTCTATTCTATTCTACTCTACTCTCTACTCTAATCTATTTTCTATTTCATTCCATATATTCTATTCTATTCTATTCTATTCTATTCTATTCTATTCTATTCTATTCTATTCTATTCTATTCTATTCTATTCTATTCTATCCTATCCTTTCCCCTTATTATATTCCCTTCCTTTCCCTTCCCTTGCCTTCCCTTGCCTTCCCTATTCTTTCCTTTCCTTTCCTTTCCTTTCCTTTCCTTTCCTTTCCTTTCCTATTAGATTCCCTTTCCTATTATATTCCCTCTCCTATTCTATTCTATTCTATTCTATTCTATTCTATTCTATTCTATTCTATTCTATTCTATTCCCTTTCCTATCCCATCCCATCCCATTCGATTACACTCTGCTGTATTCCATTCCATATATTTTCTACTCTTCTCTACTCCACTCTATACTCTACTCTACTCTCTATTTTCTGTTCCATTCCATGTATTCTATTCTGTTCTGTATGTTTTCTAATTATTCCCAGATAAGAGAACCAAATACAAAGAAAAGCAAAAGTAGGTGTACATTTTGAGACTTGAAAGTGAAACTCTTTTAGTTTGTTTATTCATTCCCGTGAGAAGCATCATGGTTAAAAAAACCCTTTGACTGAACTTGATGGTCTTTAGAAACATGTCACTTGAAACTATGCACTGCCTGCCAAAATAAACAACTCCTTGGCTTCAAGTTCGTCCAGTTTATGAATCAAAGTAGAAAATTTTTTAACAGCTGGCTCGTTGGTCTAGGGGTATGATTCTCGCTTTGGGTGCGAGAGGTCCCGGGTTCAAATCCCGGACGAGCCCCTTTTTTTCTTTTTTTTTCTTTTTACATTTTCAGATCCATCCATGTTTTATTTGAGGACAAAGACAGCTGCACCAAGCACTGAAATAACTGGTGGCTGAATCTTATCCAGCTTTAAAAGGGACACAGTTGTTGGAAGATCTGTACATTTGTATAAACTGTATTTGTATAAACAGTTTTAACAGATTAACAGAGTTGGAAGGGACTTTGTAGGTCATCTAGTCCAACCCCCTGCTGAAGCAGGAAACCCTACACTATTTCTAACAAATGGCAGTACAGTCTCTTCTTGAAAGTCTCAAGTGATGGAAGCTCCCACAACTTCCAAAGACAGAAGCTGTTCCTTTGGTTGATTGTTCTCACTGTCAGAAAATTTCTCCTTATTTCCAGGTTAAATCTCTCCTTGTTCAGTCTGGCCTACAGGTGCTTTAGAAAATAGCCTGACCTGTGGCAGC